AGTTGGGCCTGGAAACATATTTTTGTCTCACACAGCATCATTTCTCTTGGAAAACCAGTGCTTTATGAAAGATTTTCAATGGACTTGGGAAAGTGGGGGGCAAAGGGCTCCTCTGCAGCTTCTTAATGCTTGAAATCCATTCCTGAGTACTTTCATCCCTAATTAAAGGTCACCCACTGGTTCGAGAACAACTGTTAATGAAGAGTTTAATTATCCAGATGACAGCTATAAAATCCTACTCCTGTGCTTGAATATTTTAAAGCAACAAGGCCCACATTTTCAAATATGTGCTTGTAACCAAGTACTTAGACAAAAAAACACTCACTGAAGAAGAGTGTGTATGAGCCATTCACATTTGCATACACAATGGGAGATTGCATATGCCCACATTAAAGATGCAAATCTGTGAGGAGGTTTGTATGTGCTTACTTGACCGTTTGAACCAGACCCACCTTTCTTTTCTGTTCTTTCATTCAGGGAGGGGGAGGGATGTTTAAATTATTCCTTGAGGATAAATCATTTCACGTTATTAACTCTTCTTAACAACAAAGCTGCATAAATTAAATGTAAGATTATCTGCTGTGTTCTCGGTGGAATGATTAGGAGGGAATCTACAGGAAAGAAATGTGGTCAAATGATTTGAAAACTTGCTAAATGGGATGCAAATCTCATCTTGCATTCTTAACAAGCTCAAATGTAGACCTGCCTTCTAATGAGCAAACTCTGCTTGGCATATCTGTGCAACCCCCAGAGCAAAGTTATAAAGAAAATGGATCATGGTTCATTTTCTCTACTGAGTCAGGTTTTTGCTTTTATTGACGCCTTTGACCAGCTGCTTCTATTACGTTTACCCATGGTGACAATTTCTGTGATGCTGCCCTTAGTCTGCCAAGCTGAAATGGTCCCATTTCTCATTTCCCATCACAAGATGAGTGTTTCTCAGGGAGGTCAGGTTTGGGTTCCCCACAAGGTACATGCCTGAAAGAATGATGCTTCTATCAAACAGATGAAGAAGTTGCTTATCATGTTCTCACTGCCAGCACAGTCTCTTTGTATCACTGGTGGTGGCACCATAGGGGCAAAGAGAGTCATAATTCTTTAACTGGGCATTTTTGGGGGCTTGGTGAAGTCTAAAATGCAATGGATGGCCACATAAGGGCAGTGAAGAAAACCAGAAGGTATTACAATATTGTCTACTGTCAAGTGGTCTTTGGAGCAAACTAGCAATGGGCTCCAAAACAAAACAACTCCAAGGTTTTTTCTGTGAGTTGGAGTTAGGCTTTGACTCAGTTTTCTTGTTACCTGTGGCCTCTCTCTCCTACATGTGTGCACACATAGACACATGCTTATGTGTTGAAGCAGAATACTCCACAAAATAGAATTTCAAGCCCTGGGTGTAAAAAGGAGGGGAAAAAAATTAGAATGTATCACATAACAAGAACCATCTATATATATTGAAAAGGAGGAAAATACCTTTCTGAGCTCTATCAACGGATAATATCTTATTTCATAAGAAATATGAATTAATAGAAGAGATTTGTTAAAAAAAACCAAAACAGGTCAGTCTTAGTATGTTATTTGTTGAAGAGGTTTCAAACATACCTTTCTGTGCTTTGTTAACTCTCCAGGACTCTACAGGAGGGTTTTCTGTGCAGAGTCTCTCATCAGCTGAGCTTCATCTGTAGGTCACAGTGACCTGATTATGGAGGCTGTGCTGCAAAAATGGAGCTCTCCAGATAAGCAGTAACATTTATTGCATACTTTGTCAGCATATCTCTGGCCATACAGTTGTTCTCAAGGCACTTTGTTGTGATATCGGTTTTATTAAAATGGATTTCAAAAAGGGAAATGTAAAACAGTTTAAAGATTACAACAAAAACATGTTGCTCAGTGCTGAGAAAATCCACACCAGACACCAGCAGGCTTTTTGTACATTGCAAATGTATCTTGAATTTTTTTATTATACTGCTTTCTTCAAACAAAAAACACCGTTTAAAAAATTGCTACAAGCAGACCAATGTCCCATACAGGGACATCGACACAGGTCACACAATGTGTCTCAAAATCTGGAAAATTAAGAATACTAAAATCCAAAGAAAAGTTAAAGCCAAGGGGTTCTAGGGACTAGAAGAAGGAGGTTTTTGTCTTGGCAACTGCACGGTTAGTCTCCCAGCTTTGGAGGTGCTGCCACAGCCTGAGTTGCCACCAGAGCTCCTGAGCAGTGTGGGCAGGATGACATGTCCTCTTGCCTGGGACAAGGCAAGGTGTTCAATTATGTAGGTTCTACTTGCTCTTCAAGTATCAAATCTAGCTTCCTCTGGAGGAAGAGCTGTGGGCTAAGGTGGCTTCATCGCTTTGGTGCTGATCTGACTCTGTACACAAGATACAGTCCTGCAAGGTCTCTTTTTAGGGATGCTAATTTGTAAAGCATATTTAACTGCATCCTAATTCTGCAAATGTCTGGGCAATGGGTTTGCATGAAGTAGATCGGATGTATCAAGCCCATGTGCCTGACAAGACTGCTTACAAAACTGGCTTCTAGACTATGATGCCTGTGCTTTCCTGAACTGCCAGGTCTCATCCTTGGCAAATGGACAGCGCCCAGGCAAAAAAGCGTGATGTGATGCACTACAAGAATTTTCCCTTTTTATCAACAAAAATGGGGTAGTATTTGTCAAATAACACCCCTCATTTTTGGCCCAAGAATAGAATCAGGAGCCTTTTTTTAAATGTAACTGTATGTTACATTTAAATGTAACAGAGTATCTGTCATTTTGGAACATCATCATTCAGTCATTTCCATCAGAATGGGTTTTAATGGCTGCACACCATTACACTATATATGATATAAAGTATTTGTGAAAAAAATCATTCCTTTGAATAATCATAAGATCTTCCCAGAGATGAACTGTCTTTCCTGCTCTTCTCTTTCGTTCTTCCTTCCCCTGGATCTTGGATGGAGTGTTACTTGTGTAATCCCAAAACAACCCCCAAAACACACTCTTTTTGATCTCCCCTGCTTTATGCACTAGGGAGCTGACAGTTCCTTCCCCGGCTAGGACTGAATGAATAATCGCCTCCTGTAGTTATTCACATCAGGTTCAGATGCTGATATGTGAAGCTGATGATGGGAGATTATGGATAGAAGCATCGAGATTTGCTACTGAAATTTTATGACTTGTAGGTAGGAAATATTTAAAGCACATCACATTTAACCATGAAGACTCCAAAGATTTATAACCTCATGGGGCAGAACTGTGAACTGTTTGCGAGGGGGAAATGAAGCCCAGAATCCTCTCTTGGTGTTTTCTTTATGCCCACATATCCACACATATCCACACAATCAGCATGAGAAAATCCTACCCATTCCTAAATCTTTGATGCAGTTTGGAATGATTAACCCTCAAAAGGTTTGATATGTAAATCATGTGAAAAGTCTGTACATTCATTGAGATCTCAGTAAAAAATCGTCTAAAATCAGGAAATCTGGATGAACAGTTTTTTTTCTTTTTTTTTTTGTTAATTCAACATACACATCTTATGGTTTATTTCAGATCTTCCAATCTGGACCATCATCTAATAATGTGCACACAAAGCTGTTCTTTTTTTTCCTGAAGGGAAGGGGAAATCCTACAAATATTTTACAAAAAATTAGGATTTCCCATAAACTTTTATACTTTTATTCAGGGTTTCAAAAGCCATACCTAGGTCCACTGTCCTTTACACAGGCCAGGCAGGTTAATGCACTAATATCATTGTATTGTAAACCTGCCTCTTGTATCATCTTACGGCAGCCTATTGGCCCATCTTGCCATATCCAAGGGGCCCAGACACACAAAAGTGAATTCAACCCAACTCTATGAGAACTACTTGAGAGAACATCCTCCTTATTATAAGGGGTTTCTCCTGCCTTTGTTCTTGCGCTTTCTTACCGTGAAAACAAACTCCAAACCAAACCAACTTCTAGAGACAAACTTAGATGAAATATGTTTCTCTGAGCCTGCTGATCTACATCAACACAAAACCCACCCAAAGTGACACTTCTGTGCAGAGTAAGGCAGGTCCATGCAGTGTGGAACAGAAAACATCAGCATAGCTGGAGATGTCTTCCACCCTTCTGCAGTGGTCAACAGAAATGGAAACACAGGATATTCTCGTTCCTAGTAAGTCTCTGCTCAAGGAGGGCTTAAGTAGGCCTTCTGTCTCCTGCAAGCCCAGGAAGTACAATTAATGAAAAAACCCTAATTATTTGTCATTATTATAACACAGTTCACATGAAAAGAAATCATTTCTACATATTTTTTTCTTTCAATTATATATAAACACTACTTAATTCTCAATAAGCAGCTAATATCTTCCTAGAATGAAGGGAATCTCTGTCTACATGGTGGGAGATACTGGTTTATGATCAAATTTCTTTCTTAAGGTAATTCTATGAGAAGACTTTGGCATTTTGGTCTTCAAGAGCTGATGAAGATGATGTGCCATCTCTGATGGTTGTTCATTGAACAAAAATAGCAAATGGAATTAATTTTTTCTTTCCTCATAAAACATAAATTTACATGCTATGCTGAAGTCATTATTCAAATGCACTGTTGGAAGTGATTATCACACTGCCTCAGACACAAATCCATGCAAGTGTTTCAGTTCAAGTGATTCAGAGGAACCAATGAATAAATAGGGCCATCACTGTTTTTTGACGCAGCAGGGCAATGACCATTTCTTGTGTGGAAATTAGGAGCAGATGAGGAGGTCTCTGTTCTGTAAATCTGGGCTTGCATTTCACAGCAACCAAACTTGCTCAACAGAATGAAGAAATCCCTGCGGAAAGTCTTGGTGAAAATGGCGTAGAGGAAAGGGTTAGCACAGGAGTTGATGGGGTAAAACAAAACCAGAAGGATCTTGGATTTGGACACTGTGATGAGAGGAACCTTGAGTGAGGCTGATATTGCAAAAAAGGATATGGGTGCCATGCAGAGGAAGTCTGTGAAGATGAGTATGGCCATGCGTTTGGCAATCTTGGTGTCACTGTTGGAAGAGATCACATTGGGGTTCCTCACAGTGGAGTAGATGCAGATGTAGCACACGCATATAATCACAAATGCGAGCACATTCAACACTAAAAGACATACAACATAAGCCTGAGAAAATGGTGTTTCTATATCCATGGGCAAACAGATACTGACCTTCATGTAGCTGCTGACTCCAAATATGGGAAGAAGTGCTACTGTGAAAGCAAACAGCCAGCCAAAAACCATTATAATCACAGCGTGACGCAATCGAACCTTGCGGTGCAGCTGCATGGCATAGGTGATGGTGTGCCACCTCTCCAGGGTGATCACAGTCAGTGTGTAGACAGAGAGTTCACTCGCAAACACAGTGAAAAATCCTGCAGTATTGCATCCTGCCCCAGTTTGCCAGTCTATGGCGTAGTTGTAATACTGGCTTTTGGTCTGGATATCCACAGATGCAATAAACAACAGATAGATGCCTATGCACAGGTCTGCAAATGCAAGATTGCACATCAGGAAGCGAGGTACAGTGAGCTTGTATTGGCTGCTTATTAAAATAATGAGAACAACAATGTTCCCAGTGACAGCTAAAATGCTGATAAACCATATCAGGACTCTTAGAATGTTGTATCCCATGATATCTTCACATGGATTGAAAGCATCAGGTTTTGGTGAGCAAGCTACGTTAACTACTTCGTTGCATAAACCGTAGTCAAAGTCATGCTCTGCTGGATCAAATCCTATGCCATAGCTTGAAATATAATCTTCAGATGCAGATTGTATCTGTAGCTTTTCGCCAGGCTGCTCCTTAAGGTCTTTCTTGGCCTGAGACATGATACATATCGGATGTAATTCGGTGCTGAAATTGTAAAAAGAGTGGAGTTGGAAGCTAAGAGACACAGTGTGAGGCATACAACACAAAATCATCCAGTTTCCATTAACAGCTCAGTTTTTCTGTTTAGCTGATTGTATAGATTACCTGGAGCTTGAAATCAATAGTCTGGCTGGTCCTTATTTATAAAATATTACAAGAACAGGTAAGTGATTTGGAAACATCATAAAATGTAAGGGAAACAAAAGCCTAATGTTTGCCTAACACCCACCTGGATAACAGCCTCTCTAAGAAGCCTCCCTTATTTGAACTGAATTTCTCACATAGCCTGTCATTGATAAGCTGATTTGTGCGTGGGGGAAATACATGATGATGAATAGCAATGTAAGACTGAGTTTTGAAGAATTAGTCAATTCATCTGTGTTCATAAGGACTCTGTTGAACCACAATAATGCTATGATCCCTTAATATTATTCTCAAATTCCCTTTTTCCTAGAGGTTTTGACCATCACTGTGGTATAGTTCTGTAACTCCATCAGGGCATAGAACACCTCCAGTTTGTGCTGTTTATTTCTAAGTATCTCATAACATTACTGGCCAGTAACATAAATAAATAACACAAATAAGCTCATGTAGGCTTCCAGATAATACCTAGAAGCCAGATGCCAACATGAACACAAGATATGGTAGACCATTTTGTTAAAAACTGTTCTTCAAAGAAAATGGATTAGAAAACAAGCGAAGCAAACCCAAGCCAAGCCACGTCAAACCAAATCAAACCAACATTTTAATGGAAGAAGTAGTTGCTTTTGTTTCTGCCAGAAAGTATTTTTAAACACTCCAAGAATTTTTAGCAGCACAGGTAAATAAAGGAAAAGAGTTTCAAGGAAAAAAAAAAAGCCTTTGAAGGTTAAACTAGTATTTTTGATAGTTTTGTGTTTGGTTTTATTTCATAGAGTATTAGCTCTATGCCCTTCTCCATCCCTAGACAAACAAAAGAAAAAATATTTTGGCTGAGATGATAGAAAGATGACTAGGTCCATCAAGTTAAGAAATATCAAGATATATTCCTGTAGAGACATGAAATGAAGGGTCAGACTTTACAACAGCTTCTTCTAGGCTTTGAAGTTTGCTGTCCCATAAACTTGCATTTAATAACTATGGATTTTATAATCCATAGTTTTGGATGCAGACCTAATCCGAGTTAGGAAATAAAGCAGGGGAAAATGTGTTGCAAAACCAACACAGTTCAGCTCTGCCTACATTCAGCTACAACCCAGACTGCAATTTAGGTGTAAAATTTCTAGGACAGGACCCCAGCTTATCTTCCACCCTGACTTTCAGTACAGTCAAGACAAGAACTTTCTAGACAAGTTAGGTTGAAAATTTTGAACAACTGGTAGTGGCTTAAAAGGGAGAATTCTTCTTTGTAACCTAATTTTACCCTTTGACTTTGTGCACTCACTATATCTTCCAAAAATTGAGTTTAAAAGGTCTGCAAGAAAGGAAAACTAATGAAGGCCCAGCACCAGAAGGTGAGAGACATTTCCTATGAGGTTCTGAACATCCTCTACCATTATCAATATTTTTTATCTTGCCTGTCAACTGAGGCAGAAAACTGATTTTCCGTGAGGTCAAATATGCACTATGAAGGTCACAATAGCAATAACAAGGCATTACATTTTGCTCCCCTGTGTTCTACTCGCATAAGGATGAGTGAGGGGTCCACTGTATTGATCAATATATCAACAGTTCTCTAGCTGAAAGGGAATATAGGCTTCCAAGGAGCAATAACGGGACAGAAAGTCCCTCATTTTTAGTGCAACACTCACCCAGGGGTACTGCAATTGGTGGTTCTTCGTAAATGAACTGAATGAAATGTTTGTATCCAATAATTTCTCAGCATTAGTTAAAAGTAAACCTTTTCCCAAATTATGAAGGCACTGCCTGGACCTAAGTCTATTCCCTGGCAAGACTGCTATGTAAGGCCAATTAAATATTTCTAATTATTACAATTTATTAATTCTTGAATTATTTTACAGCCAGTGGTCCCACGTAGAACCAGGGTCCCATGGAGTTAGCTGCTGTGTTGGCTCCGAGGAGGGTGACGAGGCTGGTTATCTGTACTGTGAGCAGGTAAGAGGGGCAGCTGCGAAATCCCATGCCAAGGAAGAGGCATCCTCCGATACTGACTCCTTACCATATCTTTGCCCTGTGATGTTTACTCCTTGGGCTGTGCAGTGCATTCAGAGCAACAAGTTAAAACCTTGTTTGCCAAGGGATGGGTGGGTCCTTGCCTCCTTTTGAGGCTGTGGGTATTCTAATACACTCCACTTATTCACTCTGTAAAACTCTGTTACTGTTTAGCATTATTTTGCTCAAGTAAACTAGAAAATTAAACTAGAGAAAGGACAACTTAGAGAATAAAATTGAAATTGACAGAGTGCTCTGACAAAAATAAACAAAAATTACTACCTTTGTACAAGTTGTTATTTTATGCGCTTTGTCTGGAACTGGTGACAGCAGGATTTTGTGTGCTGAGAAACATGCTCAGCAGAACAAATAGTCTTAACCTAGGTTCTGTATTAAGCCCTATCTCAAACCAATCATTCTCACCAAAAGGTGACATCAGGTGAGTTGTGAGCAACTGATAGTATGTTCTCATGAGACAAGGCCCAAACATGACTCCTGATTCTGCCACATTTTTTGAAAAAGTAGGATTTCAAGTGACAGGTCTTCTGAAGAATAACGATCAAGTGTAAGGACAGAGTCATATCAATGTCATTCTTTTTGGTAGAAGGTGATCTTTATGTCAAAGAAAGCCAAAAGCTTACTGAAGTTCATAATGGTATATGTCAAGTTGAGAGTTTTAACATCCAACCTCTGCCCTATCCACACTTCAAGGATATTATTTTCCAGTCACAGAAAAATGTGAGGGAGTTCAACACACTGTACCAGACTTAAGAATGCAGCTTACCTTCTGTTAGGCCAGCATCACAACATTCAAGTGTGATCAATTCACAGATCAATATTTAGCATATAGTCCTTACGAGAATGGGAAAAACATCAAAATTATCTTAAAATTTGTGTCTCAGACTGGCAGAGCTTGATTCGACCTTCTCCAAAATTTGGAAAGCACCGTCGCTGTAACAGGTTTAAGCTTCCCATTATCACGACAGCACCTGTTCTCTGGCACAGACAGATTTGGGAGAGGTGACCAACCAGGATTTGCTATGGCAATTTATTTTTTCTAAGAGTTTGAGTGCTGCAAAAGTGTCAAAGAGGGAAAATCTAACATAAACTGGCAACCGGAAAGGGGCCACACATCCCTGTTTTAATTTCTTCCCAGAGTTCCCATGTGAACAGCAGCTGCTGCTGTGATCCTTAGAAATGCACTTCTGGGGGTGATAAGGCATCCTTTTTATACTCCCTGGACTACCTGGAAGTACTCTGAGAGCCAGATAGTCACAGAATAATGATTGTCTCCTGTGAAGGTGCATGACAAGTCAGGACACATCATGGTTCCCACCACCACAAGTGATGTGCAGCACTGAACCAAGTACAGCTCTTGCCAAAAAAATATTACCTGTTGTGTGATCAAGCACTATACAAACTATTAATAACTTTTAAACAGCCTGAGCAGCCTTCAATGCACTCACAACTTGTGCCAGCTGTCAAGAAAATTGCTTTGAAATGAAAGCTGGTGTAGCTACTCTATGTGTGACTCATCTCTTTTGAAGTGTATTGTAATATCTTCAGTATTCAAACTGAACACATGTATCCATTTTCTCTCTTTAAGGTGGAGAAAGGATGGTAGTTTCCCACCAATTTCAGTACAAGACACATGACTGTATGAAAGAAATTACCATTTTTAATTATGTTAAAAAGCAGCTAACAGAAAAATTCTAGTAAATTTCTATTTATACTTAATATTTAGTAAAAAACACACCTGGTAACTATTAAAGACATATATAAATACATTCAATTTTGTTCTGTTGACCAGGGTTGTACAGTTCACGGCCACATTCATTCAAGTAGTCCTATATCATGTGTCATAAACAAGAGCATCTCCAACTTACATATTATTTCTCCCCATTGCATCACATCTGATATTATAGGAGACTGAAGTTGTGACCAAACTTCTCCAGAAGCAGCCCCACCACTGCGTGGTACTCCAGCCCAGCTTGTTAACCATCCTTACCTGGATTGTGTGAGCTCTGCACAGGTTTGTTGGCATTTCTTTGCAAAATTACGCTTACCCGAGCTGTGGAAAGCGCAATGTTTTATGTTCTCCTTGGTTTCTTGCCTGCCAGGGCAAAGGCCTCCAAAAGAGGGGCTATACAGGGCGAAAAGTGAGTGTTGTGGTCTTCAACTCCCTGGGATGAGTGTGTGACAAGGAAGTTATTTTAAAGCCCAAGTGAGGGGACTAGATACTGGCAGCTTACCACACGATCAGGACTGTTTCCTCCTGTAGCCTTCTTTCAATAGCAACTCTTACTCTGTTTTTTAAAAGTCCAGTTGCCTAATTTAAGGAGGGGATTCTGTGATTTGGGTCCTGTTTAGGCCCAAGCAGCCCAGAAGCCAAGTACCTTCAAAAATATGAATCGTAGTGACATCAACGTTCCTTTGCAGATTCAGGATTAAAAATGCTTTCATTGGACTCATTGGAATACACCACTTTGTCATCAGGGCTGGAAGGACTGGACTCATTCCCACATATAAGTTACCGAGCACTGTGTCTGCATAAGACTGCACAAGTATGTGAAAACATCTCCTGCTGATAAATTGTTCTAGTGAACAGTTTAGCATTTTGGAACAAAAATGGACAATGGGAGATGGATTCTGTCAGATACTTCCCTTATCCCCGCAGTCTCCGGCATCGCACTTGCATTCTTTACGCAGATAGTTTTACAAACACATGTAGGTGATATTTATTAGCTATCAGCACAAGCAAACTCAGTTATCTTCCATTGTTTGGTGACAATACAATGCTAAAAGTAAAATAAATGGCTATTTTAAGTGTTAAAATAGAAGCTACTAACAGTTTATGCTTTTTCTGCATGGTTTTACTGTTCTTTGAAGTTTTATGCAACTTCTGAAGATGATGTCTTGATTTATAACAATGGTTCATGACTTTTTTTTTCTGCCATGGCAAAGTTCAAGTCTTTCAGGACATCCAGTAAAGGAAGAACTTCAAACAATAACAGGGGTTTCCATAGGTATCAGCTCCTCATGTTTTCCAGTGGCACGAATTCAGGAGGCTCATTAACTACTTGAAGCGTACGTTTCAAGACTGCCTGAGCAGGTGAAAATACTCAAAAAGAGTCATTGATACCTGAAGTCTCACTGCAACTCACTAATGGAAAATTAAGATAAGCATGGAGAATTACAACTGGAGTCTAAAAAAACACCATACCCTCCCACAGTCCCTCTGTTGATTTGGGTAAAATGGATCTGCTCTAGGTTAACCATTTCAGAAGTCACGTCCAAAAACATTGTCGATGTCAACTCAACAGATAAGGTATCTCTGATGCTTGGCTTGACAGTGTTCCAATATCAGTGAGGCTTTCTGAGAGAACAGTATTTTGCATCACTCAGTGGTCCTGTTACCCTCCTGAATCGATGGGCAAGTATTGACCAGCTTCTCTGCAAACACGGCTTTCTCTCCAGCTACCTCCTGAAAAGTTATCAAACTTTTTCTGTTTAATGTTTTCAGCATGGCTCCAGGCTGATCCAGGACAGCAGATCCAGTGAAACATGGACCTACAATAGGTGGGGACAGAGCTGCAGCTGGGGAAAATACCGATGGTAAGCTAACACAGCTATTAGAATTTAACAATTCCCTGTAATGTGGAGGCAGTACACTGTGTAGCATGCAAAAACCTGTATGTATTGTGTATTTATTTATTTCTATCCATTTACTTACCTGCTCTAAAGAGACCTTTTCTATCCAGACTTTGAAGAAATTTATTTAATTTACTATCAAATGCTGAAAAGCGCCAAGAAGAAAAACAGATTAAATCACTTACTTTTGTCTTTTCCAGTTTGTAAATGCACAGCAATGGCTAGGATATGTGAAGTTTGCTTCAATCAAAGATCTAAATTTGCTTAGATCAGGAAGCTTTTTTAAATTGTATGTAGATCTTGCTCTTAGCTTCTTAATGTGTTCTAATCCATGACTTGGCAGGAAACTGATTTTCGTGCTTGAAATATCCCTTTAAGAAAACAGATAAAAATCTTGGTAAAAAGCAAATTTACTTCTGCTCAACAACAGATATGTGTTTTAGACTGTCCTACTCATTCTCAGAGTAGTGGTTGGAAACAGATCACCTGGAAATCTACACTAAAAAGAGGATCCGGTGAAAAATTAGGTGTTCCTCCAGCAAACTGAACTAATATGCATTGCAAACAACAATCAAACGATGTTAGTCTGTGAGAAATAAAGAAAAAAGTCCCATAATGTTCTGGGTAAGAATTAACAGGGACATAAACCGTTAGCGCCATATGATACTGGGTTTAGTAAATACCCAGTAAATGCAACAATCATCCCAAAATACTCTTACAGGATAAAAAAGGCTGATGAAATCGCAGTAGAAGTTTGCTGTGTGATCATCACATCATGGGAAGGCTGTTGTGGAAAAAGCAATAAACACAAAGAAAGAAGCTCACATGGGGGTACAGATGTGAGGACAGGTTGGGTATATCAGGTTTTGTGCTCATTAGAAAGAAAAGGAGATAAAAGACAGACAGGGGTGACATTGTTCAGACTGTTAGGAACAAAAAAACCAAACCAACAAAACATTACCAGAGGTTTAAAAAACAAACACAGCACAGACTGAAGCAAAGAATGGGACGAGATTACAGGAGGCTAGGAGAGGTGTATTTATGTGGAAGGCAATTACTATGTTGGACAGGCTATCAGAGGCAGCGATGAAACCAGCACTCATGAATGTATTAAAGAGACCATTAGAGGGGCTTTTAAAAGGAAACACATTCTGCAAACACTAAATCTTGACTTGTGCCATGCAGGGAAGAAGGACCAAGTGTGCTCCATCTCCTGGCTGAGATATTTGGGAATCCTTCCCCATAGCTTCAGGGTATAACAGCTGGGGCAAAACGTCTCCAGCTTTCCCTCACTGGGGCACAAACTGTGTCCCTTGGATCATGACAGCATGAGAACACACTTCTTTCTCTTAAAAGGTAAAAATGAACTGCACAAAATCACCCTGTCCTCCTCCCTTAGTCCTTTGTGCTCTTATGGGCTGAGACTGATCCAGGCTACAGTGTTTGCTGAGGCTGCTCTGCTCTTAATTCTCCAAGAAAAGACAGAATTTTTCCTTAATTGGGGAATTAAACTGACAATATTTGTAGTTTTCTCCATGTCCCCTTGAAGATATGGTTTTCAATTCATCTGTAACAGTATGATGTCAGGACAATATGTTATTTGATCTCTATTACCCAACAGCACAAATTGTTTTTATTATCATTTTAATACAGTAGAGTGGTGTCTTGTGAGGGGGAGACCAGGTTTTAGCAGCATGTAACAAAGTTTAGGCAGTTGCTATGTACCATACACACATTTGCATCTCTGTTCTCTGGTTTAAGAAACAAAATTAATGCCAGGGAAGGGCTCTGTTTGAACTCCAGCCAAACCTAACAAATTCACAGGCAGCTGATAAAGTGGTTTGTAAAATTGGTGTTGGGTAAAGATGATGTGTTCATGCTGTGCCTACATCCAGGCTCTAAAGGAATGTACCACCTTCAACAACTGGACCATGAACTGTGATAGCAGAGGAGCAAACACAGACTCCCCTTCACTGCCTTGACCTAGGGCCATAATTTCTACTGGAAGGGAAAATAGACCAGTGTATTCAAAAATACCATGAACTTCTGCAGGGCAGAATGAGAGAAGCCACACTTCTCACAGAGAGGGTTCTGAGGTCCTGGGTCTGTTTCTTACAGGAGCTGAAAACAGCAACCAATGAGAAATTTTAGGCTATCCATTTCTGACTTGGACACTTGAAGAGGTAATTAGGTTGCAATGAGCAGTCTCGATTTTCACATGGGCTGACTATTGCCCTTAATGCACTGCCTAATGAAAACTGTCACCCAGAGTATATGCTCACAAGCCAGCAACAAAACAGCAGTTTTCTGCCTAAATCCACAAACAGCATCACTCATGGCATCATTAAGAGCATGTGAAACTTCATAATTCTGAAAAAGAACATGGAAAATATTTTCTGTGGCTTGTTAGCTAAAAATCATTACCAAATCCAAACTGTTATTACAATGAGTGGAAATAATGAGCAAATATGAATAGGAATACCACTTGGACTTAAAAATAGCAAAAAGGTTACTGTGTCTCTCATAATCTTTAAATAATTTCATAAATATTAGATTTTTTTCCCACAAAAAAATTTTATTCTTATTTTAAAAAATTTTCTTTTTATGTTAATTATTGCACATAAATAGAATTGAGTTAGGGAATTTGATTTGCAAACTCCTGCAGGGTTTTTTTGGTATGTCTGTGAGGGACAGTTATCAATAGACCACTGGCATGCCCCCAAACAGCAAACATAGACGTTGTGAGGGTGGTTTAGTAACTTACTCCACTGAGTTACCACACACAGACCTCAGTGTAGAAGTTCTTTGGGATGTTGCTCTCTAGTTAGAGGCTTGATAAGTTAAATAATCATGATGAACAAGATCATAAACTGGCAATAGGAAATCAAACCACAAGGCATCACCGATTGGAATATGTGTTCCTGTATTATTTCTGCTTGGCTGCTAGTCATCAGCCTTGACAGCAGCTGGTGCAGGAACAGGAAAATGAATCTGACTTCTCTTCCAATCACTTCCCTTTCCCACTGGGAGTCTTTGTTGGATTAGCAAAAATACTGACCAGCTGATGAGGTTTGAAAGGCACATACAGAAATGGTGGGAAATAGCTGCTGGAGCAGAAAGCAGAGGGCGGTAAAGCGGTTGGTGAGAATTTTCTCCGTGTATCTAAACTGATCTCTGGCTGCGCTTCAGGGACTCAGCTGTTGAGCTGGGGATCTACTGGAACTCTCCAGTAGCCCCCATAGGTGGGTTTCCCATAGGACATAGTCAGAGAACTAAGGACACCAGCAAAAGCTGGTGTAAGCCACTACAGGTCTGAGAGCAGCAGAAAACAATTAAATGAAACAATATGGCTGAAAACTGAAGCTATGAAACTCCAGGCTGGAAATACAGTGTATTTCTGTATAGAAGCAATATGTATAGGTGTGGGATTTATTAGCTGCTGGATTTACTTGCCTACTGTCAGCATCGAAATCTTTTAATTCAAAACTTGATGTCTATCCAAAAGAGATATTCTAATTCAGCTAAGAGCAGTAAGTCTGAGAGAGGAATTGATTTGTGAAACTCTGTAGTCTGTACAAGGGCTAAGATTGGTGCTTTCTGGTTATTTGTGTTCCTTTCACATTATTTTAATACGCTGAATTATAAAATAGAAGTTGAAACTAATTGACTGTAGAACACTGGTTTAAGAAGGTCAAGAGTTAAACCTCCTGATGTTCATTCTAATAAAACACTGCAGTCTGCAACATGGATTTGATTGCAGCAAAACTATTTCTCCCAGCAAAGATATGATTATGGGTCAATCATTCCACAAGTGAAAGTGCATCCCTGGTGTACACTACGTTGATGGATGAGCAAGAAGGCTCTTCTTTCATGATCTCATCCAGGATAAAAAAGTAATTTCCCATCCATGGAATAGTGGATGTATTGGTAATGGAACAGAAAACTTTTTATGCAAATAACTCAGTGTTAGAAATTGAACTATCAAATGAATCTCAACCACAGGCAAATCAATTTGATAAACATCCAGAATATGACTGTATCAGTTATAGCTTGCAAAGAAAATCCAGTTACTTTTTGCTACAGGAAACAATGATTTTCCTAAGAAACATCTCTGACATTACTGATGAAGAGATGCTCCACTGGCAGTCTTTTCCAAGGAATGAAGACGCTTTTAGGAAGTGAGGGAAGTGAAACAGAATGCAGTAACCCATACCATAGCTCTTTATATCATAGGTGCACTGGCCATCACAATGTGGAAACAAAATGCCTTCAGAAGAGCTCTGGACTGAACTCAGGGTTAATCGGACATTTTTCTCCTTCCATTTTAGATTTTTAACCACTCTAACATCTGTGTAAAATTTTGCAAGAGCTCCAATGACCCCTTTCACTCTTTCTGGGTGACTTTTAGTCCTCTCTGGATAAGCGGGATAGATGGGAAGTAAGAAATGTTCTGACAAATGGATGAGACAAAAAAAGAGCTCTGTTGCAGCTCTTACATGTTGTGGCTTGAGCTCAGGAAAACAAGCAGTTCTGCACAATCACAGGCATTTTCAGACCCCATGGCAAACCATGGTTTGAAATAATGGTTACTGAGATTCCTGAGCATCCTTCTGCTGAATTCTCTACTGCTGAGATCTCAATTTCCATTTCATCACCCACCAAAGAGATCCTGTTGTAACTGTGTGGGATGTGTCTCATACCTATCTCTACAGGAGATGGGACATCCCAGTAGAGATGCCCTAACACCGTAGGATAGGAATTTTTCTTTAGAATTAAGCTTCACAGATACAGGGGCAGATCTTCAGTGGCAAGTAATCCAGATTTAAGCGCTGAGAACCACTCACCTATTCTTCATTTTGCTCAAACAAAAAACCAAAAGCATTTTTCTCTGGAAAAATAACCAAAAGCAAAAGTACTACTCTCTTACACAGTTTAATCATCCATGGAGTGGAATCTTAATCTAAATCTCTCACTTGAAATACTTCAAAAACTTGAGGACAAAGTGAAAATAAGGATCTAGACTGATTTTTTTTTTTTTTTTTTTAGTATATTCAGAACTACATGTCTGGTTTTGAAGCTCAAGGTTTGTGAGATGTTGAAATCCATACTCGCATTCGTATGTTCTTCTCTGATCTTTTCTAGGTAGTCAGTAATGAGAAAAGTATTGTCCAAATATTACTTACAAAACAACAGGTCCATTGGCTCCCTGGAAGACCTCATTTGGCAATTTTTCTAGGTTGTGATTATCACTTAGATTTCTGAAAAACACAATATTTATTCTGAAACAATCTGAGATAAAAAAAAATAAATCTTGCAGCAGTTAGTATCTTCTAATTATCACTTTTCAGAATAGTAAACAACAGAAATAGTTACAGCTCATCCAGATATGTTCCGTTAAATGCATGATTCTCAATTTCCCGAATTCCATTTTTATTTAGCCATCTGCAATAGAGAAAAGAGAACTGTGTTCTTATTCATGCTTCATGACTAAAATGTATGTAATTCAAAGCAGTGAAAGGAATCTCAAGCAAATAAAATTGTTAAATGGATATTAAAATGGTGAAATGTCTATGAATACTAGCTGGTAAGATCCCAATATTTGGACAAAGACTTAGGGGAGCACAGACACAAATAGGGCAGATGAGTGCTACCATCAGAGATGACAGCTAAAGTAAGTTTCTGAAGTAAGGACAGAGCTGGTGAAGATGCTGGCACTGCTCATGGCTCCACTGGGAAGGCTACAGAGGAGCTGGTGTGGCTGTTCCAGGTTAATCCCAAGAGGGGTGAGACCAGGATCTTTCCTGTTGGCGCTGTCAGTGCCGCTTAGTTTTACTGTTTAGCAAGACACTTCTGAAACTCTGAGCCATGGCTTAATCTTTGCCAGCTATTAGAGAAAAAAGACTGCTGTTTGCCATGGTCTCATATGCTCGGCCAGGCAGGTGGAGGAGGGAGACTGACTGTACTGAGCCAGGCAGGAGGGCAGAAGAGGGGTGGCAGTGGTGCCAAACTGCTGTGGAAAGTGGGTGATTCCTGATGTGTCTGCTTCCTTGACAAATTGCACTCCCTACCTGCTCTGTTGCCCCAGTCCTACCTCCCCAGGCTTCTTCTCCCAGAAGGAGACACAGGTAATGAAATTGGGAATTGATGCTCCTGGGGCTTTCTGCCAAGTTTTCACTCCAGTGCATTACCTAATTAACGTTTAACTTCCTTCCCTCTGTCCCTTCACGGTCCTAAAAATTTACATTTGGGTCAGTTATATTTATCATCTTTATGGTGCAATCTTTCATCTCACTTTAAACGTCACTTTGCAGCTCACGCCCTCTCCAACAGGCAATGACAGGTCTGATTGATGGCAGAAATGGCCTGATTTAATTAAACTGTCAGCAAACTTGGACATTTTTTTCCTAACTCACTTTGAAAGTTGAGCATGCAAGTGACCCACTTATCTAAGGTCTGAGGTGGTGAACTAAGGTCAGCATGAAAATCAGTTAAGGGTCTGGCCGAAAGGATTACTCTTTTGACCATGACAGGCAGATGTACACAGCTCTGTGTCTATAATGTCTGTCAGGTCGGATCAGGAGAACCGTCACCGTCCCCTTCACTTGCAAGCACTATTAGACATGAGTGAGCAGGCACAGAGGAGAGACGTGTCCCTGCTTACAGCATTTAAACATTTATTATATTAAATTGATCCTATCCATTTGTAGCTGCCAGGCTGATATATATGTTTTTAATCACAGTATTAGCACTTAGCTGCATTCTCTTACTGAACATGATGCTAATGCAATGAGATACTAAGGTCGTAAAAAAGAGTCACTGTTGCCATACAGGGTGGACTATACACTCCTGTCACCTGTCTAATAGCACTGGAATAGTAAAAAGGGCAAAAAAAAATTTACCTAAATCCCAAGACCTCATTATAGTACTTATAGACAAGTTTTTCTTGAGACAAATTCTCTCCTCACTTCAACCAGCATTCTTACTGACTCCAGTAAATCTTATACTAGCAACAGGTGACAATGGAGGAAAAGATCCAGAGCTTGGATATAGGGGCCTTTACTTACCATTTCACGGCTATAGCAGGTTTTTAAAACATGCTTTAAAATTCTCCCAGTTCAGGAGGTCACTGCCCCTGAGGTACCATTTACACACTATTTCAGGGCAGGAAAGACCTATCCTAGAGCCTACGCAGACCTGGTAACAAGGCGAATTTCTTCCATAAATTTCTAGCACTTTATTATCATATGTATCCTCAGTTCCCATCTGTGCTGATCCCATGCATAGCATAAGTTCAGATGCAATCTGAATTACTGGCTTAAATAAGTTCAGAGCCCGCCACAGCTAAACCTGTTAAAATTGTTTCTCTGTAGAATCTGGGGGTTCAATGGATTCTGGGTAGTTTTAATCATCTTGACATGTCAGGTTTCACTAAATGATGCTTAACCAAAAGTTCCTGTTGCGTTGCTGTGACTTCAGTTTTGAATAGAAAATCAGCAAATATGGGTCTAAAATGAGCTAAGTTCACCACAGCACAAGGAAAACCTAATCAGGGACTCTCAAAGGGCACATGCAGGGCCTCTGTCCCAGAGCAGAACCACAGCAAAGTCAGGACATCACCTGACCGGGGTAGTGGTGGCCAGGTCTGCTTGCACAGCTCTTGTTGCTCTTGCACACACTGGTGGGTGCTGGGAGCCCATGGCAATGGGGCTGTTGAGGAGGCAGGGCAAAGCAGCTGGAAGTGGACATGATACATCACCAGGCCAATTTTGCTAACAAACCAGCAGCCTTAAGTCCTCAGAAAGGACTATCCTTCAATACCCAGTCAGTAATTCTATCATAGTATCATAGAATAGTTTGGATCGGAAGGGACCTTAAAGATCACGTAGTTCCAAACTCCCTACTGTGGACAGGGACACCTTCTACTAGACCAGGTTACTCAAAGTCCCATCCAACCAGGCCTTGAACACTTCCAGAGATGGGGCACACACAACTTTTTTGGGCAACCTGTTCCAGTGCCTCACCACCCTCACAGTAAAGAATTTCTTCCTGATATAGGCAATGAGACATTCTGGGGAGAAAAGAGAAGTCAATTCCATCTGCTCAAGTGGCAAAGAGAGGTCAAAGCACAGCAAAAATCTGGCATATGTATCTCATCCCTTAGTGGTATTATGGAAATACACAGTACTTGTTGGGCAGTGCTCTGAAAATACAAAGTCCCACCTGAGTAGCTAATATTATCATTACAGGAGAGAAGATGAACCAGTGCACTTGCAATGTCATTACTTGAATATATATTTGGGAAACCTTTGTGTGTATAGGTCTGTATGTCTGTATTTAAAACTTCAGAACTTGAAGCAGACAGAGGTTGTGCATAACTGATGGGGGAAAAGGAGAGATAAAGCTAAGTGACCTGCTACTGGCCTTTCTTCAATTATTGATGGTCTGACCTTGCTCCCACCAAAATCAACGTGAGCCCAATCAGTCAATTCAAATCTTGTTTGTCTGCTTCAGTATGTGAGGTAAACCACACACGCAGAGGGGGAAATTTTTCCAGTCTGACCACTGCGTAGGTGAAATGAAGGCAGCTTGTTAGCAAGGAAACAGTATGTTTTGATATACAGACAGAAAGGATCAAAGAAGCCAGCTAGTTCATTAAAATACATGACTGTTCAAGTCAAATGTAGTCATCTAACCATGCAGCTTGAAACTGCATTATGAACCAGCCTGTATCAATGCATTAACATTGCATACAAATATACCATATTTTCACAACATCTACATATGTTTTGTCCAAGTAATAAATGTCTTTGAATGGTATGTCTGACTGTAAATATTTATGAGTCATGCCATCCTCTTGAACACAATTTGTATCACATGGACTGTTGCTGTAGATGTTTAACCTTGGCATCAGTAATTACTAAATTTGCTCTCTGTTGTGCTTTTAAAATAAAGAGTAGGACTAGAACACAACAAAAAAAACCCCAAAACATTAATTTTTTCACGTCAGGAAAACAGAATACAGAGATCTCAGGGGCAGGGGAGAAATCTAAAACATCAAATTGAATTTGGAAGTGTATGAAATAGTGCTCAACTCCTGGTTTTGTTGACCCTGCTCTGGAAAAGAAATGAGGTAACAAGGAGAATAATGAATTTTCTATGTCTACTCACAGAATCACGCTTTCAGAACTCAGGCCCATGAATGAGTTTCTTTCAATTACTCGTATATTGATATTGTCTTGAATATCTCTGAAAAATAAAATACATTAGAAACTACACCTTTTTGTACTTCTGTGAGCCTTTCAATACAATATGCTGTTTCAAACAAAGTATTTTCCCTTATATTCAATCTGAGGAAGTACTATAGGCTGAGGGTAATGATGTAAGTTTTCAAGACTTTTTTTTTTTTTGCAGAGCACAAATCTTCCTGATAAAAAAGGATGGAACAAAACCTTTCCAACACCCCCATACTTTCCTCCCAAATAGACTGAAGTCATTAAAATGCATAAAAGTGCAGGTCTATAACCCTGAGGTGGATGAAATAGTTCCTCCAGCAAACATACTATCCAGAAAATGCAATCTGAGGGGCTGTGAGGCCACCCCTTCTCACAGCCTCCCAGCCAGAAGAAGGAAAACCATTAGCCTTTTTGGCCTGACTCAGCAGGGCACCTACCAGCCCATGAATCATTCCCCTGCTGATGTCAACAGGGTTGCTTATAAGCTTTGTATATGCTTAAGAACTTAAGACACAGAGCCCTGCCAGTGCAGTTGGTTGAACTGACAAGTAGGAATTTCCGTCTTTCGTCAGTTGTGGCTGATACGAAAAAAGGAACGTTCTGTTGCTGGCTCAAAATAGGCCTCAAAGAAGTTAAATAGTGTTACTCATAATTTAGACTGGGGATATGGCTGTTTCCATGCTGTTTCTGTTGGAAAGCACAGAACGAAATTAATTGTCTGCAAAGCTTGAAATTAAGCGTGGTTCCAAAATTATCTCATGCAGCCACAACTCTTTATTAAGTGACACTTACAGAGAGGCTTCATTCTGCAAACTGAGGTCAGCAGAGGCAGGAATAAGGAGGGAGCAAGGTACCCATACAAGAAAACTGTATCACTCTGCTAAGGATCTGCACGAGCCCTTTATAAATATCAATGCCCCATCCAAACCTATTGTTGGGACTTAAATATTGGCACAACTGAAGCCAATGGTAATTTTCTTATTGACTCCAATGGGACCAGGGTTTGAACCAAGGCCTAGTTTGGGACTCAAATGGTATCAAGGTCTTCTTATTCTTACAGGAAAGTGAGGAGTTTCACCTGAAAAACCCCACCAAATAACTCCTGCTCTGCAGGACACAGTAATTCCACTCTAGTTAAGACTAGGGATACCAAAGGATACAGGTGGAAGGCTCTGATGCATTTGCTTGATGGTTTTGAGGAGCGAAGTTCTCAGAATTACCTATATCAAGTGTATTACAGAAATAGATTTCTTGTCTTATATGTAATATAATGGCCAGTCTTCGCAAGCGAAGATTTGGGAAAGGTCATTAACCCTTCCAGCCTGCGCAGTGGATTTTTAGGTGAGACACAGCGTGCGCTGAACTGAGCCCACCCTTTAGTCCTGAGGTTCATCTGCCGGGGCCGAGCAAAGCTTGGACAGTGGCAGTGAGGTCCCCAGGATGTAGGTTTGTTTAGAGTGACCTTCTCTTAGGTGGATTGCCTTCCACGGCTGACGAGCTCCACCTGCCCAGGGGGCCGGGAATCGAACCCGGGTCGCAGCAGTGAGAGTCAGACACTCTAACCACTAGACCACCAGAGGCCCCATATGTATGTATACTATATTCAGACATCTCTCTTTATGTTTTATATGCATTTTTATTTATATTAATGGCTACAACTAAGACAATTGTAGGATTAATGTGTCTGAAGATGCAGAACTTTGCATGTGAATTAACAATAAATCTTGTCCAAAAGAATGCTTTGAATTATACTAAGAACTGATTGAAAAATGTATGTCAAAATTTTTTTTGGTGAAAAAAAAAATCAGTCTTTTTCTGATACACATTTTTTTAACAGAATAAAAGGTGCTTTAACAGAAAAATAGCTTGTTTTCACACAGAGTTTTACACAAATATTTTTGTTCCCTGTTGGCTCTTGAATTTTGTATAGAAAAAAATTTTCATCCTCTGGACAGTTTTACTGAAAGGGGAGAAAAAGGCATGGTAAAGATAATTCCCTGAGTTTAGAGTTTTTTCCTTTTTTTCTTTTTTTTCTTTCTTCTGTGATGTGGTCACCTTTCATGGAACATGGCTCTGAGATCAGTGACTCTTCCCATGCTGGCCAGAAAACTGTCACCAGGTGGCAATAAATTTCCACTGCCACCATCCTGATTTGGTTTACAACTTGTGAAAGAGTAGTAAAAGGCTGTTACTGTCCCCTGGGCCATCCAGAACATGCTCATAGTGTAGTTTAAGGAAGAGTGATCTGTAAAGTGCAAGTTACAAGGCTTTGTAGAAGTGAGACCTAGAGAGAACTGAGACCCTTGGAGCCACATTATCATCAATGCCTGCAAAATTACAGCCCAAAACGATACCGTGAAGCCAATAAATGAACGCAAGGGGAATCACGTCTTGAAAGGCTTTGTTGGAGCAGAAGAACTTTCAAAGGGAGCTTTTGAAAACTAAAAAGCAAACGTTCAAACTTACAGCAAAACTTTCTGGAAAGACTGAACCTTATGGACAGCAGGTAAAAACCGAAGGCCAGTATTTGATATTAACCTAAGGGGGAGAGAACAGACGAAGATTATTTGCTCTGCCACAGGAAAAAACTGATAACTTAAAAAGACGAAAGAACACTCGACTTTTAAAATGGCAGCCACAAAAGACAGAGGTTAGCCAAAAAGTTGGGTTTGCCAATAGGAAACTTCACACTGTAATTTAAAAAGGTTTTTCTCCAAACTGCAAGCTGAATTCTGCCCCACTGAAGTAAAAAGAGAAACCCTACCTTAGATAATTACACAGTCCCTCCTGATGACCTCAGGAAACTTTCCATATTAATTTCCCAACTGTATTCTAAGAAATCAACTGCACTGACACAGGATAATTATTTTCATAGTAGCTGTTTTAAGACAAAAGTATCAACTCAATTACCACAATTTTAACCTTCTACTCTAATAGAGGATACATTAGTTCCATGGGAAATGCCATTAATTCATGAAATTAGGAAAGAATTATGTCACTTTATTCCCCAGCACCTCTGACAGTGAGGAACCAAACACATGGCAACATTTCAGCAGTTTGTGCAAGTGGAAATGGACCTGAGACTCTGTTCTTGACTACCTCCACCCTCCCACTGCACTGAGCATCACGACCTCTGCATTGCAATTCCTGTCAGTGAAACACCATCCCAGAAATGCTGACTTTGAAGGATAACCCTCTGCCCACAGACAGTGAGGACACATGGTCACAGGTATTCACAGAGCTGTACCATGTCTAATTTAAGCAAATTTTGTTATCCAGAGCAGTAACAAGGGCAGGACCAACATGATATTGCCATGCAGCAGGAGATGACTGGTGACTGCTGATGGCTGGAAGGAGGGCTGAGTTCAGGAGGGAGGAGCTGGACCAGGCTGGACTCTGACCATCTGGGAGTTTTTCACAGACACCAAACAGTCTCATGTTTACTCCACTAAACAAAGAAAAAAATTGGATTCTTGAAAGTTTAATTATATCTTTGTGGTTTTAATATATGAGATGGTAGAGAAGGTGACCTTCCACTGAGAATATTGGTTCTTTAAGGAATATATTGATAGTATATAGAAGGTATTTTTTATCCTGGCACTTAAAAAAAATATTTTTTCATTAATAGATTTGACTGTTTTTTTTTTTTTTTTTTTTTTTTTTTTTTTTCAGAATCGTTCCTGAAATAGTTGAATTGTAACAGAAAGGACTGGCTGAGACTGGAAAAATGTAACATCATTCATCTGATGGTTTTTATGAACCTAGATTATTTCAGGAGAGTTGCAGTCTTTCAGGTTTCATAATCTGAACTGAAACTGAACGCCTGCATGTGACAACCAAATCCTACATTTGGGAACTCAGGATGACACATAGGTCCATAAAATAGTCATTCACTGGCATAAGTACTGCTCCGAGCTCCCTGAGATGGTATCTGGGTATCTTCAGATGCTGAAAAGCCAACTTTGATCTGTCTCATCTTATAACAGAAAGCAATACTTTACATGCAGGGAAAAATTAAAGTAGTATAGTGAATATTCAAGAAGCCAATTTGGGAAAGTTGCTGAAATGTCATGACTATTTCGTCTCAGGAGTCAGGATGGTCTGACATTGCATTAGCTTAAAAATAACAGCTGTCATATGTGACCAAGAAAGCTCTACAAAAATGCCTTTGAAAAACTATTACATACAGTTAAATAGAAAGCATGATTAATGAAGCAGGTGCATTACACAAGGCCCTTATTACTTAAAGCACTTCTGCACTTACACTTTATAAAAGGAGTTCACAAAAAAAAAATAGAAGCAATAGAAGAAGAATCTCTAACTCCTCCTTACAGTACTTTAAAATACATTCTTTAAATTACTGGAGATATACAAGATTTTAGTTGAAAGCTGCCTTTAATTTTAAATGAGTCATACATTAAAAATTGATGCAATTCTTTTAAAAGGCCCTTTTAAATACAAATCACGGCATGCATTTCCTTTAGTAGGTAAATGAAGAAGGAAACTGCCATCAAGTAGTGTGTGGCTATTGCAGGACAGAGGAAAAGACATCAGAAGCTTTCCCAAGAAAATGTCAGTCCTCATGGTGCAGCAATGAAAGGTGACAGTATTCTAACATATGCTATTCAAACACTGCTCCCAATGGCAACTTCCTCCCAGCATATCAAAATTCTAAATTGGTTAGCAGGGCTTTCACCATACATGTGTGAAAAAAATATCCTCAATGCCTTGGGTTAGTTCTGATCTTTCCAGTATTTCCAAAGTGTTCAGGGCTCAATTTTCACTGGTGTCAACTGAGCAGCATGAGATGAAGAAGAAAGCATCTTTGTCAAATCATTACATATTGAAGTAAATCTACAGGTGGCACAAGGCACTTGATTGCACAGAAGTGCGGAATGGTGATTAGGAGCAGGAGAGGATGTTCTTTTAATTAAATGCAGTGGAAGAACTAAAAAAATATTTAGCTAGACTGCAGCCTAGATCTTCCCTGTCTTTTTTTTCAACCAGCAAATCTCCAGAGGCCTTTAAGTGGATAATCTTTTTAGAATGCAGATAATACAATTTACTGAATATCTTTCCTGCAGGACAGCTTTGTCAATATATTTACCATATAATGTATACCTCCTTAGTAGCCTCACTTTAAACAAGTGTCCTCTTTAATCTGTGTTACAACTGAGTCCCCCCTTGCCATGCATAAACAGCTTTGTAAGAACCTATTTTTTTTCAGGCGGCTGATGGCTGCTTTCCAAAGCATTAATTGTCTTTCTGAAAAGGCTTACCGGAGTCAGCACTTAAGAAAACACAGCACCACGATCAGCAGAGGAAAAAAAACTTTCCGAAACTAATTCCTGGAAGATTCTGGCTGCTTATCTCCAGATATAGCAACACGTCTGCTCTTTTTTATGCCAAATTGTAGGAGCTGTTCTGACAAATCTGGGAACACAGTTTACCTCATCAATTTACTGTGGGTATTTGCTAAATTGCAAACTCAAGGTAGGCAGAGATAAATACAACATCACTCAGGAAGCATTATTTTTGTGTCTCTTAATCACACTGCTTACTTCATGCTGCATATGAGCCTGATTCCAGCAAGACATTCCTCTGACTCTCTTACCCCAGGGTCCTTAAATCTGCAACATCCACTTCTGGTGGAAGGTCTTTAACCATGAAGCTGCCATGCAAAAGGGAGGAATGGAGCTTCATTTCTCTTTATTGAAGAGTCAACTCCATGCAAAGGATCAGTAATTATGTGGACTTTGTTGCATCTGCAGCAAGCACAGGTTTGGGTTTAGGATGCGTGTCAGATACACGTGTCATATCCTCCATGAAATAAGACCAGGCAGGTACAAGCAGCTGCAAGACTTTGGAGGGTTCTGCAAAAGGGCTCTGCTCCTTTTGCAGACAAAACACATGCCTTGGCGACCTACATTTCCTCTCCACCCCAACAACTCAGCTGTATGGTCTCAAAATTCACCTGAAAGGAGTGTTGCATTTAAGTCTTTCTATTGTAAACTGAGATTGCTTAATACAGAATGTCAACGTCTCTCTAAAAAAGAACCAAAGGACACAGATTACATATGAGAACTAATTTTGGAAAGAAAATGGGTTTGAAAAGCCATCACTACATTATTAAACAGACAATACTACAGGTCTCCTTAATGAGAGCCAGATAAATAATCTTGTACCAATGAAAAGGTCAGTAAGTTACCATTTTGAAGCAGTCTGTCCCTCTGGCATATACCCTAGAAGACCAATTAGCAATTCTCTTCACTCCTTCTAAAAGACTGGTGAGAAAGTTAAAGTTGTGTGTTTCTAGAAGGTTTAGGCTATTCAGCATGGCATTTTTTCAGTATTTTTCTCTCCTTAGTGTTTTTGCCATACTAGTAATGATGAGGTGCAGGAGACAAAGGGAGTGGGGTGAGCAGGAAATGTATTTGTACCCAAGGTGACAGAGATAAAAACATATTAATGTTCAACAGCTGGTGGCTGTAACAAGCCCATGAAGCTGATGAGAAGATGCCAATGCTATCCTGAGCTTCTTGCCTGTCCATAAATAAGGCCTAGTGGCTATACAATTATTTTAGAAGAAGCACAGAGAAAGCCTTGCAAGCAACACAAGGAACTGATGGGCTGTGGTACTTGGGCTCAGTCTTGGTACTAAGACTGATTAGTTTTAGTCTCTGTGTTTTTATATGAAAACTGTCAGTAAATATACACTTTTCTGGAAGATTTTTCCCAGTTGTGTTTTGACAGTTCTCTCACAGTCGCAGCACTGTGTAAGGAATCAGACCATGTGTCTTGTACCCTGCCAGACTGCCATCACAGCTGGGCACTTCAGAAGAATCACAATGATCCAACAATGGGCAGGTATTCAAGTCTTTGTGCTTTGTCATGCTGGTTGCAACTGGGTCTGACTATACCTCCTTACGTGGTCAGACAGAATCTCCTAATCTGTTTTGTGACAAGATATTGATGAAACCATGTCCTACTCCTAACTTCCAGCAATTAATGTGAAAATTAGGCTGTAACATACAAGGGTTTACAAGTTTTCTTTCATGGCCTTAAAATTTTTATCATTTCTGCTGTTGATGGCTTTTCTATCCACGTAGATGCTTAACTCGTTTCTGAATTATTTTAAATTATAGTCCCACACGTTTACAATCTTTTACTTCTGTATTGTATAAAAAACCCCAGCCAACCACCACAAAAAAACCCAACTCAAACCAAAACAAAAACTAACTGAACTGAAAAATCATCAATCCATTTACTCCCTCAGCATCTTGCCTTATATTTTCACTAACTGACCCTTCCTTGCATGTCATAGGAAGGTGACCACAAGGACTGAGTTACCTTTACCAGATGCTGTTTTACATCAAGGTTTCTACTTTGTCATTAAATTAACTATCCTATTCTTTCAAACAGTAAAGCTTTCTGCCTTTTCAGTTTCTAAAAGGGCAAGCACTAGTGAGTGAAACCAGGGGATGGAGAAAATGGCAGTCTTTCCTACAGAAATGTGCCAAGAGAGAACATGAAGGTGTAGCTGTAGAAAGAGAGAGTGATCTGAGCATGATGTAACTCGGCATCACACCTGGGCCCACCGCTACCTAGAAGGCTCCAAAAGGGACTTTGTGTCCTGCTCCTGGTCCCTGTGGTGAGAAATGATGTAGCTCCACCAAAGCCAGCAGTGTTGCACTGATTTGTATGCCCAGAACAGCTTCCACAAATTAGCACAACACCTACATTCATCTGCTCAGAAGCTCTGGGCCATGAAGCCTGCACCTTTTGTACTGTTTATAGTCATACAAGACTGGGGGGTTTTGCCTCCTAAAAGGTAGGTACAGCAGGAATGCAGCATAAATACATTAGTGGAGTAAACACCAAAGATGAATTTTCTGAGTATAAATTAGAGAAAAGCTTTGGCATGAGAATGAATGTGAATTAAGTGGTCATGTATAAAATTAAAGGAAATGTTTAAGTCACCAAATCATTGAGTTTCTGGAAAAGCCTCTTCCAGAAAAAAGAAGAAAGCAGGGAACAGTGAAGAGCATCAAGAATGTCAATAAATAGCACTTAATTATTGGGATATATGAAGTGGATCCAGGACAAAATAGAATACAGTAGTGTGGAGAGTCTCTTCCAGCCCTGTATGCCCACAAGAGAAAAAAGCTTAAAACCTACTCAAAATACATTTCCCTCTGATAACAGCTAGCAAGTAAAGCTAGATAAAGAGGAGAGGGGAACGATCAGGTAGACAAGCAATCTTCTGTATTTTTAATCTGTTGCTTCTGTAGGTCATATTATTGCTGCTGCAGCTGAATTTTTATACAGGTAGAATCTCTGAATATTTGAGTCAACGTGTATGGGAGTGTGGAATAACAAATGTTCAAAAGAGGCAACATCCACTAAAGTCAACATAAAAACTTTCACTACTTCAGGTATTTAAAGAGGGAATTTACCTTCTCCTCACAAGCTATGATTTCTGTGTCCCACTTTTAAACAATCACTGGAATTAGTGTGTTCATTAGTGCATTCACATTTTTTCTTCTTCAATTTTGTATGAGAGAAATGTATTCTCATTCTTTCTACTCATCTGTACATCCAACAACTGTACTACCCATAGCAGCTTGCTCTGGGCATTTTACACGGGATAAACAAATGCTGTGGTTTCGTTCATAGGGAGGCAGAGCTACTCAAAGACAGTGGTCAGTGCTAAATGACTCAGGTTTGAAATGAGATGAAATAGGCATATGATTTCTCCTCATGAAAATGCAAACTTAAAGCTTTATTTCCCTACTGTCAAGAGAAAAATCTGTGTTTCAGTTATGCACATAGAAAAGTTAATCAAGGTGCCTGATGAATTTGGTAAAACAGAAATCAGTCAAAATTCTGGGGAGAGCAACAATCCTAGTACAACTCTAATCACATATTCCGGTTCAATGAGGGTTTAAACTATAATGGTTCGTGTAGTGCTAAATACACCTTATCTCCCAAAGTCCAAATCTTAAATCTCAAATCTTATAGTACAAATTCAAAGCAATGCCTCTTGGCATTTTTGAGCCCAGAACCCGTCAGATACTAGTGATTTTCAAAGACTTTATATACTCATTAACTTACTGGGAGCTATGCTTATTAGACCACTGACCTGATTTCATACTTCTAAGCAGACAATTAAACACTTATTTTTATGTACTGAAATGTAGAAGTCATGACCAGGCTTCTTAGATGAGTAAGGAAAATAAAGCTTCTTGTATGAGTGAAGTTTCTTGTGTGAGTCAGGAAAATATGAAGGGGTGTACGTGGTCAGGTGGACAGCCATACAAAAGTTAAGTTGATATCCTGCTGGGTGCATATGCCTTTGGTCACCAAACAGCACCACTTAAGCTGTTTAAGCTATGACCATTAAAAACCATTACTACTAAATAGAGTTCATTGGACTTCACTGGGGTTTCAATGCAGAGGAGAGATTATTAGTCATGTTAAAAACATGCACCAAAAGCTGTGAAAATATATTTGAATAACAGTTTATTTTAAGGATGCATTCAATTAGCACTGAATTTTGATGGCAACCCCATGGAAGCAGATGTGGCAACCACAGTTGTGCAAATGACTCAGTGAGGCTGGTTGATGAAATAAAGCTATACTATACATCAATATGTTTGTATTTTAGGGATTTAATCATCTCACATCAAGCATTAATGAAAACCGCTGCTACAGCACTTCCTTTGTTAAAGAAATAGGAATTTGAATGCTTAAGACCATGTGTATGACACATAACAGAAGGCAGTAATACGGCAAAGACAGATGAGAGATATTTTTTGTCCCAAAGCTCTCGGGAGGAATTTCAACTTTAATCTGTTTCTGTAGACATAAAATGGTCCAGCTTCTCTTCTCATCACTCAGTTCCAACCTGTTGCTTAGAAAGGCTCGAGGAATTTGTATATGGGACTACTCCTTGGAACCTATTCGGCTTTTCTGAGGACTGCAGACATGAAAATGTGGGTTGACAATATGCAACTAGTAGCAAGGAAAGAGCATTATCCCGTCTTATCACCGAAAGTGCTCAGCGCAGAAACACGTGTGTCATTCAAAGTGACCATAGTACTTGCAAGGAGCAAAAGATCTTACAAATATCTGAGGCTTGGAAGGTGTTGGAAGGCGTCTGCATCAATGTACACAAGGTTGTTGGCTTTCTCAATTCTTCTGCAAAGAGGAAATGAAACATCAGAGAAAATATATCAATATATTGTTGTTAAAATTGTGTTTGTCCTGTGATGTAGTGGAATTATATGCCGAGATTTTCTTTTTGACAGCAGAAGATCTGCATGATTTCAAAGAGCAGCCTACCACAGCCTGGCAGACCCCACCACCTTTTGATACTGGCAGTGATCTGAAGATAAGTTTTAGGTTGACCAGGTAAAAAAAAAGGACAGTTCAATAAGAAGATGGAAAAGACAAAGGTGGATTTCAAATGCTCCTATATCGCTATGAATTCTTCTGTGCTTACCTGAACCAAACTGCAAAACCTTTGATATACCTATAATGAATCTTTATAATTGTCTCCTGTGCATTTAGATTGCTCATTACTTACATTTCATGTAGTTTGGGAAGGTTGGAAAACGCATTTGCTTCTATGACCTCCAAGGCATCATTCTGTGAGATCTCTCTGAAAAATAATTTAGAAGTCAAGATATTTCAAACCATGGTGAAGCAGAGAATAGACAAGTGAAAAATTCAATAGGAATTTATTTTTTAAACCCAAGCTAGATATCAGATAACAAAACAGACCCCAGAAACACTGCTGAGTACTACCATGTCAAAAAACAATGCTCAGGAATGGACATTGTCTGATACTGAAGTTTGTATCTGTAGTGGCAGCCCTGCACCTCCTGCTGCCACCATTCCCTGTGCATTAGAAATCAGGCCCCATCCACCATGGGCCTCTGGATCTCTGAAATTACAAAATACTAATAGAAATTTAAGAAAACCTTTCAACTCAGTGAAGAAAATAGGGGATGAAGGTGACTGAAATAAAGACAGCTAAAAAGTTCCCAAGAAATATGACACAACTTCAGGAATAGGACACTGCTGTCTAGACCCAATATGAAGTACAGAGATTAAATCTAAGCCACCAGCAGATGTGCCCTTATTAACAGGAGCTGGAGACCACAGATATGAAGAATTCTTTCACACCTTGGAGAAAAAACTATTTGATCTCATCTGTACAGAGTTAATGCCCACTTACAGTCGCAGAACTGCAGAATATAAATGGCCAGTTTACTGTTATCAACGCACTAGAATGCATCTCCTGCTAGTCCAGAGTACACATTTCTTTGCTTCCTTAATCTGCAGGATGGCAAAGAGAGGTCTCAGGCTCTGATGTAATTTAGAGCTCAGGAGCTCTCCTGGTGAACTGGGCATTACTGCAGTGCAACCTGTCCCAGTTACATCCCTTATGCTGGCACTGACCAGGAAGGTCAAGGTAAAGACAGCTATGCCAGAAGATTCCTCACTGCTGTTTTTTTGGAAATGGTGAAAAAATGCTATCTTCCCAGGCTGAGGTCAGCTGCAGGAAGTAAAATTTGTAATACAGATGTAATTTAGTGGTGGTGTGATGGTCTCCTGGATTTTAATGGCAAGGTAACTGTGCACATCTTTGGAATGAAACCTTGGATAAATAGTACGATTGCAAACTGGACGACACTTGTTCCTGGATATCTTGTTCTTTTGAAATGATAATGGTTGCAAATAGATTCAAATAGGCCTGAGGTAAAACAATAGACTGTAATGTCAAGTGCACGGTCAAAAAATAATCACAAAAATTATTATGAGGATATAAAAAGTATTCTACTCCCTTCTAAGTAACAACTGAACCATACCTGACAAATTGCTGGCCCATTTAAGACAAACAAAAACCTTGTAAAAGAAGATAAGTTTTTCATCTGATCTGTTCCATTTTAAAACATCTCAGTGGTTTAATATTTCGGTTTAATAATTTTTTTTTAGTTTAATAAGAAACTTTCCCTCCCGTTTCCTCAAGGTTTTTTGAAGGAAGAAATCCATCTCTCTTCTGCTCCAGGAACTCCAAAATGACTGGAGAATAAAATAATAAAAGTACATGAGGTCTGATAATAGGTGCTTGGTACGGTGCAATGAGACCTGAATTTGTTTAGCAGTGCTGAAACACCTGATCACATGTGAATATGTTCCTCTTTATTATTTAATTTTCAGCAGCAACAAAATGCTTCAACCGAGACAGGGATTGCTTCACACCATGCGAGGTACACAGCCATTGCAAGGGATATCTCAAAGACTTTTTATTATCTTCCTGTTTTCTTTAAAAATAATGCATTATAAAATATTTGTAGAAATATCTAGAAGAATAGAATAGAAGCATTCATCCCCTACTATGTATTGATATGACAGTACACAATTCAGTCTAGAAGATGTAACAACATGGCAGGTGTCTCACACTTTTAAGAATTGTTTGGTTTTGCTTGTGCTCTTTTTGGGTGGTCAGCAGTATGTTTGCCATTCCCCACAATCCAAAAAATCAGTTGTCTTGAAAAAAAAGAAAACCATCAGAAAAAGTAGAACATTTAATGCTAACAAATTCATTTAGCCAGAAGAGATTTCACTCCACTAAGCAGTTCAGGGAAAAATGTTGCAGATTTGTTGGCCTTATACAGGGAAAAAAAGGTTATTAAGAAACCATAATACAGCAGTGACCTCACCCAGCAGATAGTGCTGTTGAGGGTAATAATTTTTTATGATCCAATCTGCTATCTAACTTTGGAACAACTTGGATGACATATCTCTTTTAATGGACTGCTTAAAAATGAATGTTTCTGCATCAGGAGAGTGTGTCGGCTTCCTAAGAGTTGGACAGGTTATTGGCTTTGTTTCTGTTCAAGAAATGGAAGATACAGATCTGATTAAGGTAGGGCACAAGCAGGCCATGACACTTTGGAAGGCTTGGAGAATGCATGGTTAAGGAAAAGAATGAAAAGAGTTAGGAAGATAGGAACCCCTAAACTATTTTTGAAGGATAAGGTTTTTTAAATATTAAGTTTTTTATAGATTAGATTTAAACAGAATTAAATAGCACTCCCATGTGGGGGCTGTTTCAGAGATTTGGTAAATGACTTGGCTTTCATTCATTCACAGTTACAAGGTGAGAGTTTGGGTTTTTTCAACAGGTAATGAAAATACATCCATTTACAATGACTTTTTTTGTCTTCCACCTCAAGCAAATCACTGCTGCAGCTGCTGAGGTTATGAGGATCTCAAGATCAGTAAAAGGAACAAAAGGGAAACTTGTCAATGGCAGAAGGCAGTGACTCTTCTGGTGTTGGCCTTCATTCTTTGTGTTCAGGGAATTGCAGGGATGAAGGAAAAGGACAAGACTCTCTGACCCCTGCAATGAACTGTGCACCCTCTTCTACACTCTTCCTAGGAAATCCTGTTGGTGATGACCTTACTCATCATCTTTCTTTGCAGATGAATCCCAGTTTACAGCAGTAAAGTGTTGTTTTCTGACAGAAGGCCGTTGCTATTCTTGTCCTTTCAGCTGCACATATATCTGCCAAGGCTGTCATTCAGGTGAGAAGGATAAATAAAATAAAACCATTCTGTTTAGGAGATCAGTCACACACTGTGGACAATAGGTAACACTAATCTGGGTTTTGGTTGCACAATTTGCATGAACAATTTATTCATACCTGGCAAAAAATGCCCATCTTCTCATGGAAAACCCAAAGAACACCACCTTAGATACAGGTATCTATGGCACTAGGAGTACAAACCACTGCTGCTCACATCAAACAGCCAACTCAGCAGACTCAGATCCTCTGCAGAGGAGAGCAAATAATACCTGTGGCAGCAGCTACAAAGAGAAAAAAAGGGATTGCTGCCTAGTGTTTGAGCAAGTGATTTGTCTTACAGTATAAATACACACAAACAGATGATTGCTCATAATGTATGTCTTATTATATGCCATCAAGAGAGAAGATAGGACTGTTATTATGTTGTTTGTTTGTAATGAATGATACTATTAGCTCTACTGCTAGCTATCGCAGGAAATCCAGCCGGCAATTTGAGCAGCATTTCTGATACAGGCAAGCCTTTGAATGGATGGTATGCAAAACAATCAGGGGCAATTTCTCAAAAAAACCCAAATCTCCAAACCACCCAGTGGTTGCAAAGTGCTTAGGCGTCTGCCTGAGCTTAGTTTTCACTGCATCCACAGTCATATTGATATCAACAGTGATCCTTGAAAGCATAAATTGTTTACTCAAACACAGCCTAAAAGAGAAAAAAGTAATTAGTAAAAACATTTTACAAAGGCACAAAGGACGATTGTTTTTATTTTTCTGCAAAGAGGATGTAGGGCTAAGATGTGATATCACACAGACTAAGGGATCTCCCCTAGCTCACCACTAAAGTAGCAAACTGGAATCATTGTTACCCATTCACCAGCAACTGACTGCAGTGTAGCATTTCCGTGTGAAAGCCAGAGCCTCTGACAGCAGGGAGAGAGATGGAAAATTGTTTAACCTTCCTGCAAATCTGCCATAAGGCTGGGCTGGGCATGCATTTTCATGACATCTCGACAGAGATGTGTGACACATAGGAAGTACTCTTCTTCAAACCAGCTGCACTCAGAGCATGACCCATAAAAATCAAGTTACGTTGAAATGGTCTTTTAAACAATCCTGTTAGTGAGGAACTTATAGTTCATGGCAGTTTCTTTGTAGTCCACTAAAGACAAAGTCTCTTAGACTAATCAAAGTCTTACAGCAAAAGTAAGACTGTATTAAACTCACAAACTAATGGTCTTGGAGCCAGGTGTTCTTATATTTCAAAGTAAGGAAAGAATAAAAGGCGGGAAATTTATGTCTTTTATGATAAGAATTCATTTCAGGATCAGAGCAGACCATACAGACAAAGTCATTTTTTTCCCTTCTAGGAAACATGTCTATTTTAAAAAATGTGTGTATCTATGTGTGTGTATGTACACATACAGAAGGTTAACATAGATGAGTAAGTGGTAACTTGTGTCAAAAGTGACATGGTACATGATGTGAAGGAGGGATATCCTCTCTCCAGCCACAAGGCCCTACTCTGTAGTGCTGGAAGTGACCCACTCTCTATAAACTTCTGTAATCTTCCTCACACTCCCTTCCAGAGCAGGTACATACATGGGCTAAATAGCCGACCTGTTCACCTTATATTTCCTGTGATACATTATAATTGTGTCTTTTGGCCTTTTCACCTCACCCTTTGAGGCAGTTTCTTGTGGCATAACTATCCTGTGGATTCCTGTGAACACTTTTTTTCACTCTGTAGGTACCTGCAATCAGCAGTGATACTGGAGGTATCAGATACTGACTCCTAGAGCAGGCAGCCTCCCTGCTCTCTGCACTTTTACAAATCAACAGCATTGTGTTCATTTAAGGGAAAAAGGAAGAAAAAAAAAAAAGCCAACAATGCTTATTTTTTTCCCCCTTTCAATAAATATAAATACTCTATAGAGGTATTTACCAGGTCAGTTTTACTCAGTGGTTTGACTGATGCCACAATTTATGTCAAGCTTAAGAAGTAAATAGCAGTAGTGTGGTGTCGCCCAGGCAATCCTGCCCAGCATTCACTGAGTGAGCCCCCATG